CGAAAAGCACGCAAAGAAAATACCGTGACCCGAAGGATAGGGACCTGGGCGGCTCGAGGAGGCCCCGCCCTCGGGTTTGGAGGTGGACAGGAGGCCTCCGTGGCTACCCGGCAGATCCCCTTCACGTGTCTCTCCCTCGCCATCATTCTTTGTCCTCCCGCCGAGGAGAGGCCTTCTCCCTCTTCTCAGCTGCTTTCGTGCGTGTGGGAGGAGGAAAAGGGGGGGGGGGGGGGAAAGATCTCGCGCGTTGTATTGCGGGTATATGTGTCTGTGTCTGAGTGTGTTGGGGGGAAGATAGGGGGGGCCTCTGCACGCCTGCCCGCCCCCTCCCCCCCCCCACCCCCCCGGAGGGAGGCATGCAGGAGGGGGAAACAGGGCTCGCACATGCGGCACTTAGGGGGAGGCCTGGGGGGTGGTCTCCTGCTGGGTAGCGGCAGCCTGGAGGAAGGGAGACGAAGCATTGCTGCCCTCGCGCGAGATGATCAGATCAGTGATCAGGGTGCGGATGTCCTGGTAGACGTCGTTGATCGGACGGAGGCACCCAACCTACAAGTTTCGCCAGGAGGGGAGGGGGGGGGGGGAGAGAGAGAGAGAGAAAGGGCACGAGGAGGGGACCATGCTCGAGGGTTAGCTCTGGGTCTTTGGGGATGGAGGAAAGAGTGTCCAGGGGCACCTGGAGGGCATATGAGGATCATGGCGGCCAAAAAAAGGGAGAGAGATAACCGGGCCACATACCGAAGAGACGATCTTCTCGGCCTCGTAGTGGTGGATGACCGGCATGCTGGTCTCGACGAAGGTGCGGAAGCTGTGTCGAGGGGGGGGGGGTACATGGGTCAGAGCGGAGACGGAGGAGGAGAATATCACAATGGGAAGGACGATCCCCTCCCTTCTACTATTCCCCAGGGGGGGGGGAGGGGGAGGGCGGGCGCAGGTGAGGGAAAAAAAAGGCCCCCCACGTACCGCTTGCGAATGGAGTCGGGGTTGTCGTCGGTCCGGCCGCTGGTGAGGCCGCGCTCGAGCAGGCGGCGCTCCATCTCCTCCTCCGAGCAGTCCAGGAAGAGCACCATGGACGGCTTGCCGACGGTCTGCTCGAACTCCAGGGCCTGGTCAATGGCCCGGGGGAAGCCGTCGATCAGGAACCGGCGGGAGCCGTTCTCCTGGCGCGCGCGGTTCATGCTGGTCTCCAGCAGGCCGATGGTGATGTGCATGGGGACGATGACACCCTGGCAAATGGGGAAAGGCATGGGCCGACACACGTGTCAAAAGGGGGGGAGGGGGGCGAGGTTGCACTGCAAATGCAGGTCACACGAAGCAAGGCGCATGCGGGCGCGCTCGCACCTGGCGAATGCAGTCGGCGATGATCTGGCCGACCTCGGACTTGTCGGCACGGGCTTGCTCCTCGCGCAGGAGGTCCCCGGCTGTTGGTGGGAGAAGAGGAGTGGGCAGGGGGGAGGGGGGGGGGACGCGAGCGGGTCAGCCCATTTGTTCTTGCTTGGTCAAAGGGAGAGGGGGAGCAGAGGCAAGAGTAGGAGCAATAGCGGGCGAGGGAGAGAGAGAGAGAGAGAGAGAGAGGGAAAGAGGGCGAGGCAATGAAGGAAGCCAACATACCAGACAGGTGGACAAAGTCGAAGTCCTTGACGATCTTGGCGCACTGGGTGCCCTTGCCGGCCCCGGGGCCACCGAGAACGAAAATGATGGTCCGGTCGTCGGCGGACGTATTGTCGGCGGGCTTCTTGCCGTCCATCGAGATGGTGGCGTTCTGGGGGAGGGTGGTGGTCTCGGCAACGGTCATGGTGTCGGCTGTTGATTTTTTTTGGAGAACGGGGGGGGGACGGCGGCGGCGGCAATGGAGGCAGTGAGCACGCGTGCGAAGCTATGAGAGCATGAGGAGAGGGCCAAAAGGAAACTGACTCTGCAGAAGGGGGGGGGAGGGGGGGGGAGGACAAGCGAAGTGGAGAGGAGGAGGTCACACTGCCGGTTGTTGGAGAAGAGGGTGGGGCGGTGGGCGCCCAGGGATGGGGCCCAAAAATGTGGTCCAGGCCAAGCCCATCTCCTCGGGGGACACAAGCAAGTACACCCACGCGCACACAGACACACACACACACACACACACACACAGACACACACACACAGACACACACACGCATGATGGGCCGGGACCAGAAGTCCCGGTGACAAAGGGGCCTGCACGAGGGGGACCAGTCAATGCGGGCGCCCGGAAACTGAGATTAAGGACACCTACGGAGGAACCCCCCGCCCTGGGGGTGGATGGGGGGGGGGGAAGACACACAAAGTCCGACACACTCGCCAATATCTGCTCCGTGCGCGTGTGCCACCTCCCTGACACCAAGGACCTGAAGGGGCACACCACAGGGGAGCCCCTTCCGATCGTGGATCCGTCAGCCTGCGGGTCACGGAGCCGCGCCCGGTTAAGAGTGGCTCCGGCCGCCGGGTCTTGGAGAGTGCTGGGCTTTTTCGTGTTTGGTCTCCTGGACGGCCCCCCCCCCCCCCCCCCCCCGTCCCACGCCCCTCCTCTCTCCCCCGTCATCCAGTTCTTGTCTGTGAGTCTGGGGAAAGGGGGGGGGGCATGGACCCGTCCCGCCCTCGCCGGGCCGATCTGTCTCTCTCTCTCTCCTGCAAAAGGGGGGCACCGCTCGCGCCCCTCCCAGGGGGGCCAGGGAAGTGCATGGAAGACCTCGCCCCCCGCCTGGGGAATCCTCATTTTCCGGGGCACGCTGGCGCGATAGCCGATCAGGGAGGCGGAGGAAGGGGGAAACCTTCAGAACGTGGGGCTCACAAATTCGCAAGACCAGCCGCGACCGCCGGGGGCTGTGCCCCACATTCACACGAGGGTTGCGACCCCTCGGGCGCCGGGGAGGGGAGCGATGCCACGGGTCTTGAACAAGTGGCCGGGGCGCGCGAGAGTGGGGGGAGGGGGCTGGCGTCGTGGTGGCGATTAAACCACCCAGTCGGTCGGAGAATCCAACAGCAGGCCACCCAGAGAGACTGGACAGCGACGTGCGAGCGCTGCTCGGCGGCACACATACACACAAGAACACACACACACACACACACACACACACAGACGCGCCTGCGCGCAGACACATGGGCTGTGAAATAAACAGGCACTCTTAGAAAGGAAAGGGTTCACGTGGGTGCGGGGAGCCGCCAAGGGAGGGCGCGGCGGGGGGATGTGCCACCGCCCTTCGTGGCCGCGCGTAGACACACACGCCAGGTACGCTGACATGGGAGGGCAGCGCGAAGAATCTGGAGGACCAGATCAGTTGGGAACGCACATGACTGTCAGGTGATAAACGGGTCAGTGGTTCAGCGGCGGGGTGGATCCGAGCGGGGTGGCTCGGTGTCTGGGGGGGGGGCCGGGGACACCGTGGGCGGGGTGCGGCACGCGGCAGGGCAAATTGGATGTGCATCTGGGGGAGAGGGAGAGAGAGAGAGAGAGAGAGAGAATAACAGGGGATCTGAACCAAGGAGAGCATGAGGGAAGATCTGTCCCTGCCCGGAGAGCGGGAGGATCAGGTAGGAGAGCGGGCAGGGAGGAGCGGCAGGGTCTGGCAGGAAGCCTCTCACAGAGGGAGATTGGGATTGACCCAGCAGGGGGCCTTTTGCCCTCCGTGAGGAGGGGGGGGAGAAAGGCGCGATGGAGACGTGTCCGGCGGATGCCGATCTTGGATGGTGTGCCCCTGGTGGCGAGAGGAGGACGAGCGATCGCTCCGGGACACCCATCGTGGCAGTGCGGCCAACCGGCCCTGGAGTTCGGTGGCACCGCAGGGAGGAGAGATGGCTCATTCCCGTCCGAGGCGTGCGCAGTCCAGGACTCCATATGATCCTTGCTCGTCTCCTCTCCTTGCTCCTGCAGTCCCGCGGCCTCGCGGCCCTGCCCTGGCACCCTCACTCAATCTTGGGATCCAGATCCCGGGCTTGGTGTGCGATCCCTCTCTCTCTCTCTCTCTGTATGTGTGTGTGTGTGTGTGTGTGGAAATCGCGAGGAAACGTGCGAGATCTGAGTCGTACCGGGAGAGGCTGAGCGCCGTATGACCGGCGTCCGGCAGGTGGGATCGAGAATGCGGGTGCCGGTCGACCCTCCGGCGGGATGCCGGCAAAGGTCGATAAGAAACGTGGCCCGGGACGAGCTGGGGCTGACACTGGTCGCCGGAGGCCGAGGACACCGATTGCACTGACTAATCTGCCAGATTGCGCTGGCGAGAAACACCGAGAGAACATGTTCCTTTCGGGACGCCGGAAGCACAAGACAGGGGGCCGAGAAAACCAGGCAGCACCAGAGACAGCGTGGCAAGGAGGTGGCGAGGGAGGGAGAGAGAGGGAGGGAGGAAGGGAGAGGTGGGGAGCAGAGAGGAAGGAGGAGGAGGAGGAGAGGTGGGCTGCCCCGGCCCCCCTGCGGGCCCCCCGCCCTGGCTTTCTTCCAAACGAGCCCTTCATTCCTTGGCAGTACCATATGCCCCCCCCCCCCCCCCCCCTCGAGCACCGCATCCGGGCATGTGCGCGCGCGAAGGCTCCACGCTTGGGCCAAAATGCCTTGGCGGGGTTCGTGAGACTCGGCCAAGAGCCAATTGCCAACGGAGGCGATCGTTTTTTTACCCAAAGTGCACCAGTGTGGGCTGGACATGCCCGGGCCGGGCCCAGTATCCACCCCGCCCCGTCCTCCCTCCCCCCCTCCTTCCTCCTTTCCCCCGCTTGGGACGGCCTCCCTTCCTCCCGCCCTCCTTTCCCCCCCTACTCCCTGGTTGTTCTCTCCTCCTCCCGACGGCGCCGCCATGCCACCGCACCACATGTCCGACGAGGACGACGAGATCAACAATGCCCTCCTCGGCCTCGCTCGGCGTTCCAACTCGCCCTCCGCTGAGTGCGTTCTCAACTTTGCTCCCTGCCCCGCTTCTCTTTCCCTCGCTCTCTGCCACTCGCTCGCGCGCGCTCTCTCTCTCTCTCTCTCCC